GAAAATTTGGGTGATGCTGGGATGGGGCAGTCAGGGGAGTCTGTCCTGTTCTTTTGGAGTGAACATTTTTTTACTGTCATGATCTTTAGCAGCAAATGGAAGGATGAAAGGGATGGCTGAATCTCATACATATGCATAGCTGTGACATTGTGAACTTTTAAGAGTTAGCACAGAAAATGATGACTAATTATGTTTGCCATCTGTCACATCAAAAGATGTGCTGAGCACAGGGTGGCAATGACCGTCTCCTCCTTGGCTCATCTCACTTTTGTCTGACCACTGTCACTCTCAGGTCTTGGTAGAATCTTATTTGCCTGTTTTAATGTCCCCATCAGGCAGTCTACTTACTGCCTGTGTGACTAAGCTGCTAGATTCCTTGTTTATTTACTCAGCAGTTAAGTGCATTAATTCCCTATTATTCTAGCTCATTTGGTATTCTGTCAGATAGAGAACAAAACTGTTCTCTAGCTACGGCCACATAAATCTGTATGTAAATGTAAAATAAAACAGAGTCTACACACCTAGTTTTGAGTATTATCACAACACTGTTTCAAACACAACTTGTATGCACTGCCTGTACTTTCAGCCTCAGTGGATCATATACATATATTCACAGAGGTCAAACTTAGCAAGTAGGTACTTGAGCATGTGTGCTTTTCTTAAAGTCTGAGAGCTAAAGTATGAATGCATGTTGGATCAAATTTAATGGCTCTACAGTATCTGTATTCTGTCATACAAAAGGTCATTAAAATGACCAGTGTCTATGTGAGTGTGAGAAAGACTGAGACATAGAAGCAAAACCTTTCAAATACTGTGGATTCATCCTTCTCCCTCTGGTGATCTACTGTATGTTGTCCACCCAGTCATGTTAACAAGATGAACAAAGCCTATCTCACTGACTTGTGAAGAGGGCGGCGCATTCAGAAGGACTGTGTAGAGTTCTTTTTTCAAGCCTACATATGAAAAATGTGGTTAAAAGGCAGGTCATGGAGAGGCAGATGTACACAGATGAAGAGGCGGAGAGAGTAGAAATAAAAAAACACAGCAAGAACAACAGAGGGTCAGCAGAGAGTGGAAGCAACATGGCGGAAACAAAGAAAGGGAGAAACACCTAAGATTCATGTGAAACAGAGAGAGAAGGCAGAAAAAGAGACTGGCAGTGTGGTCCAGACTCTGGGCAGGCTTGCAGTGTCAGCTCCTAGCTGTGAGCCCTGTGGGTTTGTTGGCCAAGCAACCCGCTGTTATTTAAGTGTGAGGGAGGAGTCAACCCTGACCACATGGCCTGTTGGGAGCTTTGGCTCTGGCTACTGTATGCTTGCAGTTCACTAACAATAGATTATTGAGAGAAACCACAAATTAGTTGCTCTGCCTCAACATTTGCTCACATTCCTTGGAGGAGAAGAGCAGAGGGAGGAAAAGATTGGACAAGAAAGACTGGAGCATTATAATTACCCACAGGGCTGCTAAGAATGGTTACAACACTCATCACAAACTCATCACAAAGTATGGTAAAAACTTTTACATATCACAAATGTGTGGTGACTGAAATCAAACATTTGACTTTTATGGTGGCAGCAGAATAGCCATGATACTTACAGAAGCCACACATTCCATTATATTGTATCACATATTAGACGAATTCCATCAATTAGGTTTTCTTTTATATTAAAACTGTCTGTTGCGTGATAGTTGTAAATGAAATGTTTTTTTCTCTAGTAATGATTTAGGTCTGTTTTTAACCTCATACCTCTGCGCCTCATACATATTCATGGGAATATATAGTATCTAAGGAGGGGGTAATGCATGTTAGCAAAACATTTTTGGCATCATATGAAATAAGTCCTGCGATGGATTGGCGACCTGTCCAGGGTGTACCCCGCCTTCGCCCGATTGCCGGCCGGGATTGGAGATTACTGAAACTACTATTTCTATAAAGGATCCTCTATACTTATCCTTTAAAGCAAGCACAAAAGCTAAATAACCTGTTTTTGTGTTTTAATAAGTATTATGGTCTTGATAATGCTTTGTTTTCCACACCGAATGATATAGTACAAAAAATATAGGTGATATTACTTTAGCTTCTTTGTAAAGTGCCCATTGGATTCAAAATTGAAAATATGAAATAAAATGAAAATGGTTTATAAACAAGAAAAAAATAAACATCACTAATTGCTTTGTATTCTAGGACAATAATGACATGACTACTATCACAATACACAAAAAAATACAGTTTTTGTTCTGCAAGACAGGAACAACATCCCGTAGAAGAAACGTTGAATTGCGTTAGTGAGGGCCATTGATATTCTGACAGCCCTGTATGAATATCAGTTCCCTTAAGAAGATGTGAGACAAGGGGGGTGGGACTAAACAAAAGACTGAAAATGTTCAAGTGAATCATCTTATAGTCATAGTCTGCTTGGCTTTGACTCTTAGTGAATTTTTAGACTTAAGTTGAATGTTCCACTGTTCAGTGACACAAAGAGCTTGGGCAGGCTTTGTGTGCATTCAGCAGCATTTGTTGACATACTGAAATGTTATGCCGCTGCAGCACTTTTCATCTCATTTGTGATTTTACTGTGGTTGCGTTAAAAAGGCCAGGAGCCAAAAAATACTTCCACTGTGTGAAACATGGATCACTGACTATCAAAAGCTCTCATCCAAAAGAAGGGAGTTAAGAGCAAAATATCAAATAAACATGAGGCAAATTCCCTCCCAGCTGACTTTAAACTTGTTCACATTTGCACATTTGAAAGTTTTTCAGCGTTTTACATTATAAATATATCTATTTGCCCATAACATGGCTCCAAAAACATCTCCTGGTTGTAGCTGTTCATCACCATCTCCTCCCTTTTCTATTGTCCTCTGTAGCCTGCTGACACTGATGGTTTTGATGTGAGTATCTCATCCCTTTCTCTCTCCCTCTGTCATAATCACTGCTCTTTATGATCGGTTTGCCCTTTCTGCCCTTTCAAGATCCGCCATGTAATGAGGGCTCTGGAGGACTGTGTGAGTGGGCTATTTAGCTATTCAGACAACATCAGCTCACTCATCCCACGCTCTCTAGCCCGACTCCCTACCAATACCTCTCAGCAGAGCATGCTGATTGTTTGTCCCACTCACAAGGTCACACACTGGATGGAGTTGGAACAGAACATTCAAAATCCATGTAGGGGCGTTTAGTGTCTATTCAATTCATGTAAATCACATGGTTAAAATGAGCAACTCAAGTATTTAATTCCACTTCACTGACAAATATATTTACAAGATTCATTCCTCATAGAGTGCTTTAAACATCAATCCCCAAAATTCCACTATGTACACCAACAAACATTGTACAGCACAACTGCATATAATGAGGCATTCCCTTCCAATGCTGACTGAATCATTGACATTTTCACTGTACTGAGAAAATGTTTTAAACTACTTCTGTATACTTTAAGTATAATGAATAAATATAAACAAATACAAATGCATACAATGCACACTAAACTGTACATAGCCCTTATATGATTATTCAGACATATTAATCAACAACAAACTAATATTATTACATCTACAGGCCACCCAGCAACATTTTAGTCAAAAAGTATACACTGGCCTCATGAATGTTTAAATATTCTGTATATAAAAAAAAATCTGAAAAGATCTCCATCCATGGGATTTGCACAGATCCCTGCATGAATACAAACAAATATAACCAAACACAAGCCTATGTACACCTGCTAAGGTAAGACATTACAAGCCTAATCCATTTAAAGTATAAGATTTTTGTTTGCAATAATTCAATACAGCCTCTTTTACAAGCTTCACCATTATTTTCATCCTTCATGTTGGGCAACTGCCTGAATATCCAGGACATTGTTTCTGAAGAAACACATTGTTTATGAGTTTTCTAATGCAATATTTCAATGATTTGAGCAATGCTCATTTAAAAATTGTATATACAGAAAGCAAAAATCCAAAGTTTATTAAGGATTAAACTCATTCTTCTTTGATGCCCCTGCCTCTTTGCTACCCTCATCTTCACAAGCAGCAGGCTGCTTTAAAAAGTCATTTATTTTTGCACACTCTGTGGCATCAGCCAGCAAAGTCTTTTTTTTGCCTCTTCTTTGCAGTTGTGAAGGCAAAAAGCTCTCACTGCTATTACAGGTTGCAGCTGCAGTGTTAGCAGTGTTGCTGCAGCTAAGACAGCCTCTTGAATATGCTAGAGTCTATAATGGTGGCCAGAAATAGGGGAAAAAAGAAAAAAGGAATAATAAAATCAGCCTTAAAAGACTCACTATTTGCAAAATGCTAAATGTGGTTAAAGCACAGAACTGGCATAATAACCTTGATGTCCCCTGTGTTAGCTACTGCTACTTTTTAAAATAAGATATAAAAAAATTGTAGATTGAACATTGAAAGAATGGCTAATAAATTTGTTTCATAGCTGCAAATAGCAAAGTAGACACTAAACATATTTTGATAACATTTTCAGATCTGAGAGCAGTTTTTTAGGGTTTTGCTTTTGTTGACATTGCAGTGCACCCTAGATTTCAGACATGCGTTTTTAAATTGCATGTAAAAGGTTAATGTTAAATTGCATATGCAACATGCATTGATTTACAGGAGTCTAGTTTACTTCACACTCAACATCCACACCTGGACATGTAGTGGTTAACTAAAGTTACCTTGTTTACCAACTACAGCCAGGTTTCACCTACCTCACCTGTGGTGTACAAACCTTAACCACTTCTACTTTGACATTCTGGATTAGATCACCAAATCAAATATTTTCCCATTATTATTAATCTACATTAATCCACTTCAAAATATAGAAGCCTGTTAAAACTCTAATGTGCTTTTACTGGGGCACGTGCCCCCAGTAAAAGCGCTCTAGTGACGCCCATGCGTTACACACTACGTGTACTTTGAACTTGGAGCTGTGTGCATCTTTTTGAGGCACCGCCCACGTTTGCCCGTGGACCTATGAATAGCTCCCTACGTCATTTCTCCTTGCTTTTTCGTGTCAACATGGCGGCATCCATGGCATCTCAGGCTGCAGCAAAGGGGCTAAGGATAGGTACCTCCAAGCACATACTTCATGATAAACTCAAGGTACAGTTACATCTTACATTACCGAGAATACATTTTCCTCGTCTCACGGTTCGGTTCTGCTGTCACATGTTCGTTAACATCGTGTCAGGAGCTGTTATTGTGGCTGCCTTGCTAGCAGGTTAGCATGTCTGAGAGCAGAGAGGTTTGACAGATCAAAGTTGAGCAGCGTGACAGACGGTGAGCGACGGCTCCCTCTTTAGTATACAGCCCATAAGACTTGCAGTAATTGTAACCATACGTGTCATGTCATAAGTGTTGCACCTTAAAGTTACAGGAACATTTTGTGAGAAGAAACTTTATTAAATCAGTAACTAATGCAGTTCTTTCTGAAATCCCAAGTAGCCTTACATCATTTGTCACTTGATGTTATCTTGCTAATTTGTGCGTATATATAATTTTAAAAAGATGATGAAGTAAGTATAAAAAACTTGTAAGCCTTGATAGGACATATGAGCTGAGGTCGACTGTTGCACTTTGATCGTCCAGTATCTGTTAAAACTGCGAAGAGCAGCTCACAGAATTCATTCGATTGGGTTTGTCTGTGTACACAGCAGCAAACGATTAGGTTACACTGCCATCCATTTTGAAAACAAAGCATTAGACCTAGTAATTGCAAGCAGAATTACACAAGTGCTGACAAAGCCAGAAAAATGAATTGGAAATTCATCTCCCTGCCTTCTATTCACTAATAAACAAATGCATTTTCACAAAGAAGAATGTAGAATTGTGCTTCTGTAATCCAATTTTAAATGTTCAGAACAGCCAGATACAAGCTGTGCCTCAATGTGGTATTTTTCTACCCAGTCAGTATCAGAGATCTGGTCTTAATTAGAGGTGTGTGTCTGTATAAATGTTTATGTCACTAGTACATATGCCCTGGCCGAACAGGGCAGGAACTTGTTGATCCTGTAAACATAGATCTGGTCAGGTTGCCACACTCTGTTTGATGCAGTGTTAACAGTACAGTTGGACATTTCAATCACATAATCTGTTCTTTTTCTTATCTGCTTTTGCTGTGTTGTCCTGTCAAATGGAGGTAGCCTAATAGTTTTAGCGCTGGTAAGGCCACTGTTGCACTGGATTAATTTCAGTGGGGAGGGGGCCGCCACAAACTGTTTGTATGTGTGGCAGTAGATAGACTGTAGACTTCACATGAACAGCTGCCAATTCAGGTGATCTCCTGGAAATAAAGTTGCAGCAGTACATCAGCTGGTCCTCTCTCATAAAGAAGATGGTGCCTGGCACAGTCACAGTTCTCATCTGCGGCAATTGCAATGTGTTTTGCATTGCTTGCTATTTCAGTTAAGAGAGTGGTGAGTAACTCATGACATAGCTCATGTGTAAGTACATTGATAGTCTCCTATGATTTATATTTGCAGGTGGGGACCAAGCTTTTCAGAGTGCGATTTTTCTCACCTACTGTATGTGGTTGACTAAAATGTATGCAAGCCTTTGTTGTCTTAGAAACTGCAGATAGCACAGATGGTCCACCATTACATCCCTTTTTTTCTCATGGTCAATGCGCTCTTCTTAAACAAGTTAAAGAAAGCACACTTTTTTGGACACACTGTTTGTGAAAGTGAGAGTTTTTCCAGTTATTAATTCCAGAATTTACAAAGCTGTCATCTCCACATTTGGAGAACGTTATAAGCTGTTCAAAAGCATCTGCATATTTCACATAAGGCTCACTCCCTGGTTTTGTACCATTCTTTATATTTGTACCGCTCTGTTCTTTTTGACCAGAAGATCTAGTGGTCTCTGTGAAGGTTTCTTAGGTCCATAACACACCTACCCATTGGCCACCGTCAGGCCATTGCTCAGCATCTGTCAGGGCTCGCCTTCCTGGTGTGTCCTTCACTGTTGACCACTAGCTGGACCCTGTCAGCGGCTTTTCGGCAGATTTTGCCGTCACTGTTGTTTCCATGATTTCACACATTTAGTTCAGTTTCTCCTTTACCTCCACAACCTCCTTTATTCTTCCACAACCAAAAGACAAAGGGCAGAGCAAACAGCTATAAACGGCAGGTATGTTGAAGGACTACTGCTTTGTTTACAGCTTTATTTCTACAGTCCAGCTCATCTTCTTTCCCCTGCTGAATGGCAAATACAGATTCTGCCACCTCCTGGTAGGGGGAGTTATTTCTCTCATGCTAGTTGGTTGTTTGCTGTAGTCTGCATTGTGTGTTCAGTGCCACTTTTCAGCCCGGCTGGTCCGGACAGAGGTGGCTGGAGGCGACACAACATTTGGCCTATGTCAGTGCTAATTCTTTCATGTCGGCTTTATTGTTCTCAAAGAGACAGAGGAAAATATCAATAAACTGAGAAAAGATTTATTTCAGACAAGGAAGTAGAATAAAACAACAATTCTAAAAATAAATAGATTAGTAATACATAAAACAATAAAAGCAAAATTCAAGTCTAGATTGAAGTCAAGTCAAAATTAAGATACATTTTTGTGATGCCAGGCACAGTTTGTGGTGCCTGATATTTTTGTTCCTCTTCTATGTTTAGTTTGTTATGTTTGTACATCACCTACATTCATCTCCCAGAATATATTGTCAGTAATACTCAAAAGTGCATGCAGTGGCATGCCCTTAAAAAGTAAACTCAAACCAAAACAGTGAAACTTATAATCTCACACTTACTGGTTGTTGTACCTGCTCCCCTTCCACTGTTCCCTTCTCCGTCTCTCTCTCGGGCCAGGTGATAATAGTAATGATCAGGGATTCTCTCTGGTCTCTAGCACAGTATCAGAGTCTGAACTGATTGACTGTTGGGTATCTCTGCAATAAAATCAAATCAGCTCTGACAGTATGTCAGCTAAGCTGAGGAATTCAATTTGCGACGATTTGTCAACAACAATGCTGAGGACATCACAATATTCAGATGGTTATGCTCCAGGATGCTCTTAAATGTGGAAAAGGATGTTGTGGTTTTTCCTTCTCTCTCACACACTTTTACTCACTCATAAATCAAATCTCCTGAATTCTTGTCTGCACAGCGCGATAATCCTCAGGCTGTTTTTCACTGTCACAGTACAGTGGTGAATTTGTAAATGCTTGCCAAGTTTTTATTTTTTCTAAGGTGTTTCTGCATAGTAATAATGCAACACTGTTGAAGCCCAGCATGGCATGAAGGGAAACATTGGGAAGAGAGGTGGCTCAGTGAGACTCAGACCTGAATCTGAGGGAGGTGGAGAGCCCTCTGCTTGCAATGACTTCTTCTGCTGAAACTTCAAACGGCAGGCGGTTTCCCCATCTGTCTCAACAAGAACACATTTACATTTCCTCCCCGCAAGGGATACTGGAGGACAAAGTTGGCGCTAACTGGATTTGAATATCGCTTCACCAAGGTTAACAGCCAGTGTCTGTAGCTGGTGAGGTGCTTAGACTTTTTCAATAATTTAGAAGGGCTGCAGCCATTAGAAAATATTGGCAGCCTCTGAAATGGGAAATGCAATGAGTGAATGTACTCCTATCATCTTAACTTCTGCTGTTGTTTTATTATAGATAATGAGGGAGAAGTGGAAGTGATGCTGAAAATTACAGTTTTTACAAAAAAATTACAAGTGTAAATCGTTAAAAGTGCAGTCTGTTGAAGATTATGTTCAGCTGCCATACTAGCTTAACCATCGTGTTTGAAATTAGACCTTCAAACATATAAGTGTGAATGAGTTTTCACAAATGAGTTTGCCTTGGGCCACTCTCGGTGATTTTTTTTTTTTTTTTTTTTTTTTTAATTCATGGAAACCTGACTTATTCATTATAAGGACATTCGGACTGGGTCTGTCCAGCAGCTGGGTTGTATGGTTTCTTTGTTGTAAGGACAGAGTAACATGGCTGCTGCCAGTGATAATAAAGACACCAATAAAAAAGCATCTGTAAATGTTATAAATTGGATACTTCTTTTTACCTTTATTTTGTCTCCATGCTCCTTGGGTGACCCGGAATTGTTCTGGTTTGCCATGATGAAGGACGTCTCAAATCCTTTATTAATGTTTGGAGGAGCAGGAAATAGGATGTCATAACTATTATTATCGTTATCTATGTTACTATGAAGAAAAGATCACTGTGACTCCCCTGAAATGATGATGTAGTTCTGGTGTGGCTAACTACAAAAGTAAGTCGTTTTCAAGAGACTTCATTCATTCAAATCTGTTTATTTGGGATGCAGATAAACCAGCACAATACCGAGTGAGTGTTGTTGCTCAATTAGAAAGAAAGAATTATATCCTGTATGAAACCACATCAAACTGACATCATGATATTTGTGATACTACAAGATATGGCTTGTATTCCGTAGCACTGTACTAGTTGTACTGGTAAATTTTGGGTGTTGAAACAATCCTACCAATGACCGTATTGTGCTCACATACCAGTTGTGTTGTGCTGCACCCTAAGTCAGGCATTTTATTCTTGGACATTTATTGTTACAGCCATCTCAACCTCAAGACCCCTTTAAGTGTCAAAAGCTCCTGGTAAATTGATACATGGCGAGGTCAGTATGAATAACCCTATCTGTAATGATTCTAAGGTCGTTGTAAGTCATTCCTCCACCGACACCTGTAACTACAGGGCTGGCGTTGTGTGCTCATGAACGCTCCTG